ATTCGAGTCCCTATACAGAGACTTTAATGCCTGTATCAAACCAGCGCTCAACCTAAATGCGTTCAACGTTTGCCATAACACATCCCAGTCCACTCTGTCATAAGCCTTTTCCAAGTCCATGAACGCACAAAAAACTTTTTGGTTTTTCGCCAAAAACTTCTCCGCCATCATGCACATGAAAAGACTTGATCTGTACACCCCATTCCCTTTCTAAATCCCGCTTGGACATCCCAAATTTTTTCATCAGTTTCTTTCATAACTCTTTCAATTAGTACCTTAGCATACAGTTTTTCCCACAATGCTAAGAAGGCTGATACCACGGTAGTTTTTACAGTCCTGCTGTGACCCTTTTCCCTTATACATTAGGACTATCACGGCTTTGCACCAGTCTCCCGGTACCCGCTTTAGTTCCCAACATAAATTAAACAAGGTGTACAGCAGGCTTGCCACCACGTACTCTCCAGCCCTTAGCATTTCGAGTGAAACTCTACCATATCCGGCTGCCTTACCTACTTTCATGTTTTTCATTGCTTTCATTATTTCATCTATACTTGTCTCCCTATCTCTTTCATCTTCTTTCGGAATTTCTTCATTTTTCGGAATTTCATTTAGTACACACGTCTCCTCACTCATAAATACGCTTTTAAATTATTCTTTCGTATCGCATTCAATGTAGGCTGTTTTGAATGTCCCCTGGTATTTCTAACGAGTTTCCAGAAAATTTTAATATTTGTCTGGAAGTTTTTCCTTTCAACTAATTCTTTTACTCTCTTACTTAGACGTTTAAACTCTGTCTTTTTTCTTTTAATCTCATCATTCTTACCACCAGAATTACCAGCTTTGGTCGCTATTAAAACTAGCCATGCTCTCTTCTTTGCTTTAACTTCAATACGTACATCATAATCCCACCATCACGTATTGTCTTTCCTTTCATTTGTTCTCTTACTAACACCACATACTTCGGTAGCTGCATCCACTAAACCTTTCTTAACATTATGCCACACATTCTCCAACACACAACTCATCCAAATCACTTATATTTTTTCTCAGTCTACATTTGTACTTGTCTTTCACATCCTCATCTTGTAACCTCTCAATTCGTATACGCTGTAACGCAGTTGTAGATACAGATGTCCGATGCCGCCAACGTCTGAATAAACCCCTATTCCCCCTATTCGGCATAAGACCAGGTAGTGGTCCGTCCCTACGTTGGATCCCCCGGTAAACCCTTGTATCCACCACTTCGCTCCTCATTCTTTCATCCACAGTTATGAAATCTATCATGCTTCTATCATCACCTCTTTCCCAAGTATACGTGTGAATCTTCTTATAACGAAAGAAAGTGTTCATCACAAAAAAATTCCTTTCCACACATACGGTGAGGAGGCTTTCACCATTTTCATTAATACTTTCATCACCAAACGTTCTCAGTATCCTTTCATAGCCAAGCCTCCTCACCTCAACCCTTCCATTAAAATCTCCTAATAACAATAATTTCATTTTCCTTAAATTTCATTAACACCATCTTTACCATCTCCCAAAACTGCTCTCGGATATAAGTAGGCTTAGAAATGTCTGAGCCCACTTTTATTCGTATCCATAGCAGTCTCGGGCTTACACATTCACACACTTTCACACATTGACCCATTCTTTCTGAAAGGATGATACCGACTCCCTGGCATGCTCGCTCGGTCTCGTCTACACCGGACCAGTACGCGGTATATATACCATGTGTAGTGACTTCCTTTCCATTCCGCTTCGTCTCATTTACACATAATACATCTATTCCTCTATCATACATCATATCGCATACTTCATCCATCTTATCATTCATTGCTCCTCATACATTAGCTAGACGGGCCTCCGCATCCTCTTTTGCCCCTCCGGGGAGACAGAACGTGACTGGTGGCGAACCTCGTCACCGGTTTTCCTCCCGGAGATTCTTCGCACCCCCTGCCCCATTAAAGGGGCGCCGGGGACTCGGGGCCATTTCTATGTCCATCGCCATGTTTAATGTCCATGTCACACCTATGCCGGTAGTTGTTGGGAGCACTATGCTCGAATTTGTTGACGAGTACGTTTACCTGGGACAAATAGTCCGACTAGGTAAGTCCAACTTCGACCGAGAGGTCAATGGACGGATTCAACTCGGCTGGGCAGCGTTCGGGATATTACGACATATCTTCTCGTCAGGTATACCTCAATCTCTAAAAACTAGATTGTAAAACCAGTGCGTGTTGCCAGTGATGACTTACGGGTCTGAGACGTGGTCCTTCACTGCTGGTCGTATGAGGACGCTCAAGGTCGTTCAGCGAGCTATGGAGAGGGCCTTGCTCGGAGTTTATCTGTGTGATAGACTCAGAAATGAGGATATCCGCAGTAAAACCAGAGTGACCGACATAGCCCAACGGATTAGTAAGCTGAAGTGGCAATGGGCCGGACATATAGATCGAAGAACCGATAACCGATGGGGAAGAAAGGTTCTCGAGTGGTAGCCGTACCGGTAGGCGTAGTGTAGGGCGACCCCCCACTAGATAGAGTGACGACCTGTTAAGATATGCAGGAAGTCGAATGATGCAGGTGGCTCAGGACCGTGCTTTGTGGCATTACTTGGGGGAGGCCTATGTTCAGCAGTGGACTTGTGAAGGGCTGTAATGATGATGATGAATGATGGTGTATTTAGAAATTTACTCAAATATTTACCAAATACACAAAATTGATACACAAAAACCGATATAGTTTACGTGGTAAGCAGCACTGAAATCTTTACGTCAATAAAAGTTCCGTTGACAGAATTCAAGCTAAAGAGAATAAAATATAATGTTTTTTAATGATCAGTTAAACTAAGTTAACAATATACTAAGACAATACTGAAAAAAATGTGATGTCTGATAAGTTAAAATGGTGCGTAATAATTGCATGCCTTAAGCGTAAAGCGTGTAGGTATGTTCTACTAGCGCCTAAAAATTGAGGATCCAACGTCATGTCCCATAAAATCGTGTCTAACAATCATACATATTCTGTATATACTTTTACATAATCATAATTGACGGCTCCGTGGTGCAGTGACTTAGCGATAAATTACAGCGCTAAGGGCCGTGGGTTCGAATCCCGCACGGAGCAAGTATTTGTATGGCCTACAAATAACTGTTCTGGATCTGGATGTTTGTCCTTGCCCAATTTATGTTCGTAAACAACCTTCACGATACAGGAGAAAATCCTAATGTAGAGGTAACGTTTAAAAAAATATTGAACATTAAAATGATATAGAAAGCACATTGTCAGAATAATAAATTCTAGTTAAACTTATTATTTTTTTAAATAAATTAATTGCTATCTTTACATTAAAAAAGTAGTTTTAGTGGGTTAAGGTATAAATTTATCAAGCTCGCACGGAAGAGTAAACTTGAAAATATGTATATATATATGACCTGACCTGAAGGCGTACTTCAGTATCCGTAACGAGTAGAACTAGGTGTGCCGAGATTGTTTTTTTTAAAGGATAAGGTTGACAAGCGAGCATACAGTCCGCCTGCTGGTAAGTGGATGCTGTGACAAAATAAAATGATTTGATTTGATTTGATTTGTGGTCCCTAGACATTTAACCGCGATTAAGAATCAAAATGCAGGTATGTTGTCACTAACTTACTAAGACTTAGATGGAATGCCTCGATTCCAGTAATACGGGTCTATGGTTCTCCAACCTAACCATATGAAACATAGCAGCATTAAGCTACTATTTTACGCTAGTAATTTGTGAGAGCGTTGTCCTTCCCCGGTCGAGACAACCCATTCATGCTACAATCATAATATAGCATTACAAATACAAATTGTGTTGGTTATGTTAGACGAGAACTTACCCCCGGACTTGACGAAGTGACCTGAAGATATACTTCGGTGAATGCAACTAGAACTCCTCGAAGAGTGGTAATAGTAATATGTATACTGAGTTTGGGCTCGTTGTGTTAGTTATAATGACACCTTATCTCCTGACAGATTAGCCTTAAGAAACTAGGCACGTGCGGAGGGACGCAACGTTGAAAAGGGGCGCACGGAAATTTTTAAAGGAAAAAAATCGCCGTATTTAACGACTCCTAAATCGCTATTACTCACTCATAACATTTTTCAATTATGATCTGTTAAGGGTAGTCATATCCTTATCATTTTGCAATTATTAAGCTATATTATAAATTATAGTATAGTTTTATATATTATAATATAGTTAATTTGCAAAATGAGTAGTTTTAATTTATAATAAATATAATATAGGTGCTAGAGGGCTGCCGATGAGGTGCTAGGCTAGCTTAGAGTGCTGTAGAGATTTAATGCGCCTCTGCCTCCAGGCTTGATGGAGTGACATGAAGGTATCCCCGAGTATAGGTGTATAGCCGAGTTTGGCCTCGTTTTGTTAGTTATGATGAGACATTATCCCTGTACTTGATAGTGTGATATGAGGGTGTACTTTGGTGAATGCTTGATTAAAATACTGGTTACGACTAGATGAAAAACTATTTGTACACGTAATAAAGTTAATAAGAAAAAAATTATTAACGAGTATAGTAAAAAAAACTAGTTTAATGAATATGTAAATGCTATCGGAAAACTAGAAGTATAGTAATAAGGATATTATTGAAAACTTGTGTGTATTTAAAATACAGTACGCAAATAATGAGCGCTTTATATATGCACCTTGCAATAGTAATAGGACCACGTATAGATGCTTTCAAAACCCCGATTAATATAAAATCCACCTCTACTTTTTATAAAAGTAAATTTTTCTGACATGCAATACCTAATAACGTAAATTATGTGTAAATATAGATACCAATTGCATAATGACCGTATTTGAGGGCATACCAGGCAATAAAATCTTTAGTAATTCGCTCCGTACATAGTTGCAGCGCACCATTCTTACGTGAGAACTTGTGCTGCTTAGACCGGGAGCTAATGCGTTAATACTAAAGTAATTAAAAGTGTTAAAGTTGTTAGAGTTAAGCAAAATGGATTTTATGAATTGGGTACCACCGGATATAACTAATATCTGTGCTGAAACCGTAGCGCCTTTGACACAATGCTCGCCGACGGGATTTATGTTTTTAACGCTAGTTGCTAGATTATTTGGTGGTTCCGTGGAAAATAAGATTTCCCTACCTAAAGTTAACCCTTATTTAAAAAATCCGCATGGGTTAACATCAAATATTTTTAATGTACCTGAAAAAATTGATTCCGATGACACAAATATTCCTCAATTAGGACCAAGCCTTATTTCTTCTGAGATAAAAACGAGGCCATCGGTCACAGAACTTGGTCCAATCGTAGAACCGATTGTATATCCAAAAAATCAAAAATTAAATAATCTTGCTCAAGAGTATCCCGACCTTCATATCTACACAGAACATTACAGTAGACCAGATTTTGAGTTTGAATATGAATCTTTCGCCAATCCATTTACTAAATATTTCTCAAGAAATCCGAACTTTCATCACTATGGTATACAAAAAAGCTACGCTGATAGTGATACAGCAGATTCAAGTAAAGTGACAGTCAAGGTAAAGAAAAGTGACAAAAAAAGCAGCAGTAGAAACAAAAGGCAAACACAAGATGAGTACGACTTTATTATTGTGGGTGCAGGATCTGCTGGATGTGTGATTGCTAATCGTTTATCTGAAGTTGAAACATGGAAGGTAAATTTTTATTATTCAATAAACGTAAATAATAAGGCTTTTTTAAATCACAATTCATCACAAAATAGTCCTTTATTAACCACTTCCTTTAAGATTCGTGCTTGAAGAATTGAATTCTACAATGCAAAAACTTTTGTTCACAATACGTTATTCTCTAGGTAATAAAGTTAGTCATTAGAAGGAAACGGTCTACATGTGATAAAAATATGGTAGTATTGTCTTTATCCGACTTCAGAAAAGGGAAGGTTCACAATTAGACTCTATGTATGTTCCTCTTTTCACTTTTTTGTATAATTGTAACGATGCGATATCTATTTAATTATAGGTATTTAGACGACACTTTAGTTATACACTTGGGCTTCTGATATTTGTTTGTCTGCTAAAAGGGTTAAAATTTTATGATTTTATATAAAATAAAAGCCGACTTTAGCCGAAATATGTAAAAAGCATAAAATAATTTCTATGTAATAGCTGTACAGTCTCTTACCTTCACATTTCCTTGAAAGATATTTAATATTCCTATTCAAATATCACGTGATGCTGTTGCGCTACTAGTAGGGGTCCAACTTGAATTGCTTAGATATTATGAAAATGAAAATTGTATAGCCAGCCTCCTCACCGCAAAAACACTTATGTCATTAAATTTGGTCAGGAATAAGGTAATAATGAGAGAAGGCTTGTGTGCAGCAGTGTAATCGATTTTAATATATAATTTTCATATTAGCTTTGTGTGAAATATTTTAGTCACATACTTATAAAATATTATCTCAAGATTATTAACCTCTTAACCCCCCCCCCGCGTTCCCATGATACCGCGGCCATATTCCGTCAAATCTCTAGCTAGCGGTCTCATGAGGTCGCACCCACCCACAGCACTTTAACACATAAACACATATAGAGACTACTTTTCTACGAAGAAGTTTGGCATTATATAATCAATATTAAATACTCTATCCTCTAGTGCAATAAAAAAACTGTTATCCCATGAATAATTATTTATAATCTACGTAAATTTCGTACGCCATTTTCGCGTGAATGTTATTGTGTTGATTTTTGGATTTTTCTAGTGTTTTAGTATAGTATTTTATTATAAAATTGTAATGTAAGTTTTTGTGTGAATATAATTTATCTTTTTACGTAAATAATTTCGAGTAATATAAATATTGAAATAATTGTGATTTTCATGCTCCCGACATTCGCTTGGTATGTTTTTTTTTGTTAACAAAATACAATAAAATCTTTTTGTAATGAAGTACAACCTGATTTTGTTTAGACCTCAAGACAGAGAATTTTGTATAGATTTTATAATGATAAACTTCTTTATAAAAAAAGTAGTCTCTACAAATAACTTTTAATGGTTTTATGTGCTGTGCGACTGCACGGGATTAACCGGGCAAATGCGACTGCATGGGATTTGTATGGTGCTTGAATTGTTAATGTTCTAAAAAATATACAATTATTTTAATTGTATCCTCTTTCAAAAATTTTAATTCATCATTTCAATAAAAAATTGTTAGTTTCTCTCTGTCGTATCTTACGATTTTCACTGTATAATATGGGGAAATAGACAATACGGTAAACAAGTTAATACCCTTACGCGAAATTTCGATCACGGTGGCCAGACTAAATGGAGACTAGCTATCTGCAAAGGCCATAAATATAGCACCCGAGTGTCCGATGCGGTCCCGGCAACCTGAAATGACTGAAGACAGATGAAGCGCAGGGTCAACGGCTTTACGTGTTTTCCGAAGCAAGGAGGTGACGCATCTCCAATGTACTGACTCTGCACTGCTAATGGGAATTTCTTGACAAAAAAATACACCTTCATCGCATATTGGCCTGGCCACGGAAACGCTTTCGCAGACATCGCGGCCCCCCCAGCACCGGCCGTCCCATGGCGGCTCCTTCTCGGGAGAGGACTAATACTTCCTATCTCCTTATCTGGTATGCATCTAGTCCGCCAATCAAAATTCTGCTGCAGAGTGTAGAGAGAGCGGTACTTCGTAATACTGGCACTCTTCTCCCCCCGCAGCTCCACTACCACCGCACCAACACTACCGCAACGTCAGAGTAGCGGAGGACACGGCGAGTGGCGCATCGACATACACAATACCGCTTTTCCTCCACGATTCCAATTTGGCTGCAGCGGTAGGGGAAGAGGACACCTCTTTTACGGCAGCCAACCAACACACATCTGAAGTGGGCTCGCCAATCCCACGCGGAGAGGCCACCTCGGGCTGGCCCTTCAACTTGGACCAGTCAAGTGGGTTCCTCTTTGGTCACCCGCCACGACAAGGCTGGAACCCTTTCGGGGGAGGGGGGGGTTAGTAATAGGTCGGTGCCTAACATAACTATACTGAATAAAGTTGTTAGTTATAAATATTAAAATTGTTTAAAATTATAAAAAAATCAAGTTTGCATAATTTGTAATTAGATTCTTAGCATTTTAATTCTAGCTGAAGTTAAGAAAAAGTTAGTCCTTATTTCACGTGTTAATATTATGTGTTGCAAAAAAAGACTACAAATAGTGTCTTATATTAAGTAACAAACAAAATGTGAAAATCTTCTCCTTCATTATCACGTAAAATTTCATGGTAGGACATAAGTATCTCTTGTTGTAGGCAGGATTTGCCCTAATCTTGAAGCTTAGCAGGTGCATTGTCAATCGCGTTACCGAGCGCCTCGCGATTTTGACGTAGTGTGGATATTAATTGTAAACTTAGAAGATATTGTTATATCGGAATCTATCTAAATTAAAAATTCTCAATTTATTCCTTAAAAATCAGGGGAGAATGTTATTAGTTTACAAAAAATCCGTAATTCTAGTAATAGTTTACCGTGCGTATGAGAAACCACTTGGTGCTGTGGTTGCAATAAAAATAAAATTACATCATATCATAAACAATGGAAATCTGTGTTGAGCAAGATATTGTAACGTACATTACCTCATGATTAAATAATTACTTTATAATAAATCAATTTTATAGCATGGATGCTGATTATCGCGTAGTTGCGATTTAAAAGAATCCACTTGTCCGTATCATCTCACGGGTGTCGTAACAAGCAACAAAGAGAAATTGAAGTAGAAGATCAGTATATTTTTAAAAATATTTGAAATAAATGAAAACCTACGGTTGCTAACCCGCTAAAAATCCCCTACGATACAATCAATTGGGGTAGATCTAGGTTCAGTAGTATACTTTTTATAGGTTGTAATGAGTGGATGACATAGATGGTGTGACCGCAACTTACGATGATTTTGCTTGCATGTCCTTTCAATTTTGCTTGCGATGGTTTTGCTTGCATTTCCTTTCAATTGTGTGAAGTAACAGATTTTGTTATAATATGAAATCTGTGAATTCGGTTGCTGGTTTGTATATAATGCACCGATAATATCCGATTTAAACAATCAATGTTGTATATTTATGAATTTTTGTTACTAATACATATATTTCAGATACCTAAACACAATAATAGTAAAAATATCATCCATTGTAAAGATCAAATGTCTCCAGTATCTCACAGCTAGAGCTATGCATAATTTCTCGAAATAGTGTTCTACATAAGAATTCTAACTTATTGATAAATTAAATAAAAAATTACTACCCCATGTCATCCCGTGGGTGTCGTAAGAGGCGACAGATTGAAACAAAATCCGGAGATGGGTATGAGCGTCTACATAATAACGACTAAATATGAAAACTGCGGTCGGCAACCTGCTAGTCAAGCTTTGAAACTATGGCAAATAGTCCCACTATTAAACAATCGTTGGGGAGGCCCTTGTTCAGCAATGGACTTAAATAGGGTAAATAAGTGTAAAAAAATAATAAGGGTAAAAAACTGTCTGATGAATTTTTACTATTTTTATTGTTATATTGACGAATATATATGTTTAATATATTATATGAAAATTTTATGTAAGTGTTCATATATAGAAGCATATCTATGAACACTTACATAAAATTTTCACCGTAACACGCTTCGCTGCTTTTCTCTTGAGAATTTAAGACGTGATACATTTTCTCACACTAACGATAAATTCTATGGTAAAATATGCCCTAAAAAGTTTGATCGTGTGAAAACTGCAATCAGCAAGTTGATATTTCTTGGGAAAAATCACAAAATTGTGAGCTTATATTGCAATAGAGTAAAATTATCGACACCGTGAGAACTATTTCCTTTGTATTAAAATATCAGTTTACACTTGTGACGACCGCTTATACTATGAACTAATTTGTAGGTGGGAACATTACTACTTAGAAATTTATTTAGATTGGTACCACACTTTCGTTCCTAAACACATGGTTACGGTATAGTGATAAATTATGACCAACTAAAAAGTATTGGCCACTGTTTTATAATCAAATTGTTGATTTCAAATTTAAATAAAAAAAAATGTGTTAACGGTAAAAAATGAGTTGAACTAGAAGGAGCGAATTTTGTACGCAGAGAAATTCTTTTTTTATTTTTTTGTTTAAATCCGCTATTTAAACGCTTCTATTTGATTCAAATTAAATTGATTGTGATAATTTGTAATTTTATGTGCAATGCAAAGTCGACATTTAACTGGATATGAAATGTTAATAGTAGAGCACTATTCAAAGTGATGTCGCCACGGCAAAAAGGCACCACACAAAATGTAATTTCAAGGTTTTCATCCAATATCGTGCAACGGGGGAGGAGGCGAAGAAGTATACATGATGTTTTTTGTAAATTGCTACGAGTAGGCCACCAATGATAAGGTGATGCAATTAATTCAAAGCAACAACCTGAACACAAAGTACTTGTGTGTGACAACACTGTGAGGAGACTACTGAATAATCTAGCCTTCATGCTTTTAAACCATTTTGGTTTTCAGCTCTAAGTCTGGAATGGGTTAGAGAACAAATGAACTAAGAACCTTATTAATGGTCGTTGATGCTTTTTTCTGAAGAATCAAGATTTCTTTTTAGTCGGGAATAAAGGAGAATACGTGTTTGTAGAATTCCTGGTCATACAAG